AAAAAAAAAAAAAAATTCATTGTTCTGACTCGCAGAACAATTCCTCTCGGGACTTGGTGGAAGGGGTTCTATAGGTCGTTAACACCAGACGTCATCAAGATGTGTTGTGGAATGCATTTGACCGCTGGTAAAATGGTAAGTTTTAGATACTATACAATTCATCAATTTATTTCAGGGGATTATTTAGGGGGGAGGGGGGTGCTAGTGTGCTCGTGTCCCCCCTTTCTAAGCCACAAAAGCGATAAAAAATAGCAAATCGTACCATAGTGCTATAACGTCATAGTAAAGGTTTGGTGTGTAGGGACCCCCCTTTGAAAAATCCTGGCTACGCCCTTGTTTTTCTCATTTCTTGGTGTTCTTGACGTCACTTCCTGTCTGGTTTGCAATGTTCATCAGCTGTATTTGTATTTTATATATTTATTTTATCTGAATTACTCAATGACTAAACGTTGATATTTCATTACTATATCTCCTCTGACTGTCTAGATTGGCTCCTATAGTTAATACAGCCAGAGTCTACCTAATAGACGTTTCTTCTTGTATACACTCAATCGAAGAATCGTTGTCGGGTTCAGAAACATAGAACATGGAATCTGAGACCGAAATGGCACATGGGAAATTGCATAATTATATTATAATTTATTCATTTGYGCCATCCATGCAGTCGGTTTAGAATGCCAAACGCGTATTAAAACAGTGGATGATGCCACGGGTCGCCGGTCACAGCATGCATCTAATTAACGTACTTCCCTTGTGTCATTTCGGTCTCAGCTTCTATGTCCTATGTTTCTGAACTCGACAACGATTCTTCAATTGAGTGTATCTCGTAAATGTTGGTATTGTAAATTTTTGGTACTAAATAAAACATTGTCACTGTCATTGAATCGCAAGTCGATATAATTCTTTCTGACTGACAGCACATGGTGGTCAGTGTTTGACCCCCATTTGGAGCAGATAATGAGATTCCAGGGTATTTAAATCATCTGATTGAAACCCAGCAAATAGCTTGCAGTGTAATTGTAAGTTAAAGTTAATAGTCTTGACTTACGATGTACTGTTAGTATATTCGTATGTAAAATGCCGGGACGCAGCAAACGTAAAAATATAGAATGACAATGCTCCATTTTACAGTACCGTTCCAAGCCGAGGCTGGAGTTTCCGCGCATGATATAGTATAGTTTCGCTATGCGCGGAAACTGCAGCCTCGACTTGCAACCATTACTCGTGGTGACTCGAACGGAACTGTAAACTGGAGTATTACATAAACTGGTTATGACATTGAAGAGAAGAGAAGAGTAAAGAAGAGACTCTTGAAACTTTAGCAAAGATTCCAATTCTTTGGAGAGAGCTTAATTTCGATGCGATATTTTGGGCTCTCAACAGCTTTAGTCAACCTTGGTTTCTAGGAGAGGAAACGTAATCTTAAAAACTTCATTGATAGATTCACAATTGGGTGGATTATCGCAACACTAAGCGTCTCTGCTCTGCTCTGCTCTGCTCTGCTCTGCTCTGCTCTGCTCTGCTCTGCTCTGCTCTGCCAGCAAAAGTTATTTAAATAAAATAGACCTAATCTTTTCGCTATCCAGTAACAGTTATGTGATTTTGGGGGGGGGGGGGGGGGGGATTTCTCTCGTTACGACAACTAATACAATCTATTTACGGGGTTTCAATCAGATTTTGAATCTCATTATCTGCTCCAGATGGTGTTCAAACATTGACCACAATTTGTTGTCAACCAGAAAGAATTCTATTGAAAACTTAACAATGTGATTTAGCTGATGAACATTCCCCACTAGACACGAAATGATGTCAAGTGAAACGAAGCAATGAGAGATAAATTGATGACTTGTATGGTATCGAAAACTTACCATCCAGTTGGTAAATATATTCCACGAGACATCTTGATGACGTTAGCAACCTACAAGTATTARTTCATTAGTTAACAATTGAAGGAGTTCAGTTTCTGAGAGTGTCAGGGTACGTATGAAACAAATATACCTAGTGTGGTGAAATATTGTCTTAAGTGAACCAATATGGTCAAAATGGGAACCATTGCTGCAGCCATTCTTCTACTTTCCGCGAGTGTTATCCTCACAGATGCTAATCTTTCGAAGCTTCCACTAGCTATGCAAATAGCGTTTCGCAAGCTACAACTTCTCGTCCACAACGACGACAAACCCAAAGGAACGCCTTTTTCTCCTCTAAGCGCCAAGCCTGATCCTTCTCAACGCATCGCTATCGTTGGTGCCGGATTAGCGGGGCTTCATATGGGTTATTTGCTCAAGAAGAAAGGCTTCAACAACACTGTGGTCTTTGAGAAAGATTCCCGCGTCGGTGGTAAAGTCATGAGTGTGTGGCATGATGGTATTCCACACGAACTAGGTGCGTGTTACACAAGTCCGGACTACATAACTAACGTTTACGCTTTGGCTAAAGAACTTGGCGTCGACGATTTTGTTCCCCTGTCTCCGAGCACGGCATGGCTAGACAATCTTCCATACCCGTTGACGTTTAGAGGATACGTTATCCTTGAAGTCAAACGCCTTACCAACGCTAAGGACCCTGTAGAAGCAGTTGGTAACCTTATCAAGGCAACCTATCGATACTCTGTTCTCCATCGTCAAATGTTTGGTAAATATGAAGGCGAGTTGATGTACAAACCATCCAGTCAAGTTCTCTCTCAACTCAATAGCACTTTCATGGCTTTCTTGGAAAAAAATCGTCTTCTCGCTCTGGTTCCAGTTCTGACAGCTTCTCACACGATGCAAGGGTATGGCCACCTTGATAGAGTACCAGCTCTCTACGGAATGCTTTGGGATACGCCTAAATTTCTTTACGCTATGCTTGCAAGAAGCCTCGGTGTTTCTGGGGGAGGTGTTGATATGTTTCGCAATGGCTTCCAACAGATGACCGACAAACTAGCAGCTTTCTCTGACGTCCACCTTAATATCGCCATTGAAAACATCAAACGAGATTCTACTGGTGTGACGATCAAGTTCAACGACGGCAAAGATAGGACCGAGAAGTTTGACTTTCTGATCTGGGCTGCTGATACTCGAGAAGCTCTTCGTGTTCTGGAACACACTACACCCTTAGAAGAAGAATTCTCCCACCTCAGAAATACTTGGTTCACTACAACCTTGTTTGACTCCAAAGAGCAATGTCGTTCTTACACTCCCATAGATTACTGGCTTAGTAACTTGTACAACAAAAGAGAGCAAAGTGTTTGGGCACGAAGGAACTCCAGATACGTCCTCAAGGGTGGACACTGTCCTACAACGAAAGGATTGAAATCTAATATTTCTACTGTAGCATATCAAATGGGTGATCACTCTCCTATGGGAACCTCTCTACTCTGTGAAACATTCAACCAGCATTTCAAGAGGCACCTTGGAGTAGATACCATCAGTGTAATCAAAAGCAAGTCATGGAATTATTTCCCGCGTTTTTCGGTGGAGAAAACGGCTGAAGGAATCTTGTGGAAAATAATCGAGAATCAAGGGAACGAGAAGACTTGGTATATTGGTTCATCGGTGATATTTGAGTCGACCAAAAGTGTGTTGGAGTACAATCGGCTCATGATGAGAAGAATGGAGATGTGAGGCAGAGTTTTACTTCAGTTAGTTTATTGATTCGTATGTAACTTTGATGTGTTGTGGAAAAGAATAAAACGTAAAATGGGGCGAGAAATTGAAAAATAATTTGGGGCTTTACTCTTTTCTTTCTTCCTCTTTTCCACTAATTGCTATTTTCCCTTCTTTTCTATTCCTCATTTATTTAATTCCTTTTTTTGCACTCTCTTTCCTTTTCCTCTCTCCCCTCCTTTTTTGCCAATCCTCTTTTCCTTTCTAACTTCTGTCATTTTTATATCAGTTTGAATATTATTCCTTATCGCCTAGTCTCCTTTGCAGCTGTTCTTAGACAAGCGAGACTTCTTATCCTCGTTTGTTCGATATTATGCAATTCTTAGTGAAATTCCAAAATTCTATTCGAGTAGTTGCGACTTCAGGCCCAACAAAACGCGAGACCTTTAGACCCGACAGAAGAGAGAATAATATTTTTTGTTTCTCACATCTTTCGTTTATCAACGTTTCGACATTGTAAATTAGTAATTATCTTAACTGCTGAAAAAAATCAAGAAAAATCCTTGGTTCCGTTTTGATTGAACGTACACGTAGCATGCCTTAATTGGTTAACGTATTCATTTGACACCATTTGCAAGAATACACTCGTCTCTCATTCTTACAGCACAGGAAAACTTAGCAACTGTTGTTAAGGACTATTAAAAGGAAACTGAATAATCCACATCTTTAAAGTTTATTCAACTTTTCCACTCAGGGCAACGGATAGATCGAATTTAGAACTTGGAAGTAGAGTTGATTTTCGTGGAGGAAGGAAAACCGGAGAACCCGGAGAAAAACCCTCAAAGCACAGGAGAGAACCAACAAGCAACTCTACTCACATACAACATTGAGCCAGGCAGGGCTAGAAGCCGGGTAACTGAAAAGTTCATTGAGCATGCGCAATTTTTTTGTCGCAGTTCAACTGAAACGCGGGCTCCGAATCTGACTGAATATTAAAACTGACACTTACCATATCACCAAATGGTCATTTTATCTTGAATTTTCAAATTTATTTACATTTTTTCTATTTACAATGAATGATTCAATTTGATTTGATTTGGTCACGCAATCAGCATTTTCGTGTCACGCAACACAGTGCAAATGTGCTGAGGTCACGATGTTTGTGAATGTTGTAAATTCGCAACAAGTTCGTCAAACATCGGTAGGCACTCGTGATAGCTGCTTAGCTGCTGATCAAGATCAACCTGGGAATAAAATGAAAAAGACAGCAATAAAACAGGATTGGGATCCCTGTGGTCTCTATCATTGGGTTGGACAATACCACTGTGTTCATATTGGCATAAACATGACTGAAAGAGGTCCATGGTTTAGATAGCCATTCCAAGGTTGTGTTAAACTGGGTCGAGTTGACATTGCAGTGCATTGTGGGACTGTTTGAGGAAACAAAATAGACGCCATCTTGGAAATGTGTTCCCCTAAAATTCCCACAATGCACTTGCAATGCCAAATCGACCCAGTTTTCCCCCTAACGTCGAAAGTGCTAAATGATGGGTTGCAAGTATTCCCAAGAGAGTCAAAAGACAAAAACATGGCGGCCATTTTGGTACCGTTAACAATGGATGCTAATGAGAAATCCTTTGTTAAATGGTACCAACGCTCCCCCGAGAGGTCGCGATGACAGAACGTGCAATCGAAGATTAGAACTTTACTYTTTCTTACCATTATAGTATCAAGGGTTTGGTCTTTATTTTCTTGGAACAAAGTGAGTGGTGGTGCTGTTTGACATTCGCGATAGAACATTCCCAGGTCACCGTCTGCACTGGACGCGAAGGCTGGTCTCTAAAAGAACAACAAATGAATGAATTTTGATAATAAATGGATGAACGAGACGATAAGCACTACCTTTCCAAGAACAAACGCATGCAGCATACACAAAAGAACAAGAATAAAGCTGGTTACGGAGAAAAAACACACATGAAGGTTTTATAGACCTCGTAATGTTTTCCTGTTTCAGACCACTTGTCATTTCCTTCAGTATTATCTCCTTGTTTAACAGTTGTGCATGAGACAACATATGAATATGGATACAACTCAAACAAAGAATCTTACTGAGGGAAAGATTAACCCAAACTTACAAGTTCGACCAGTACGAAATCGTCTTCGCCTCCCCATAAGCTTGGTGTAGTATTGCTAGCTGGTGGACGAGTGTCGACTGACTCTGACGAACTGTCCTGGAATAAAAAGTGGGATAAGATGGATGATCAAACAAACACAGGGAATGAAGAAAAGGCAAAGAAAAACAAAAACGAAGGGAAGTGGGACAAGGGCAAAAATGGAAAGAAAAAGAAAATGAAGGGAAAAATATTGAAGAAAAGATAAAACGAAAAGGAAGAGAAATGAGATGAGAGAGCAAAAGGGAAGGGAAGAGAAGGGAAGGGAATGGAAGCGAAGGGAAGCGAAGCGAAGGGAAGGGAAGGGAAGGGAAGGGAAGAGGAGAGGAGAGGAGAGAAGAGAAAAAAAGGGAATTAAAGAGAAGAAAGAGATGAGAGATGAGAGATGAGAGGAAAGGTAAGGGGAGAGAAGGCAATGGAAGAGGACAGAAAAGAGAGAAAAATATTACCTTTCTGTTTGAAGAAGTAGAATTTCTTCTTTGCGTTACTCTACTAATACCATCAGTTGTGTCTGACCTGGAGCCCAGGCTCTTCCTGTCGGACAGCAACGAGGCAAAAGGGGGTGTAGAGGATAAAGCTGGTAATGGCTGCTGAAAAGTAGCGTAATGATAATTAAAGAAGAGGATCGCATAATGAACAGCCTAAAAAGGTATTTAATATCATTATTATCATCCATCTTATCAACATAAGTCATTTTCACCACTATCAATACAACAACCATCACTTCCATCATTATCATCAACATGATCATCAACATAATTTTTAACACATCATCATCGTCGTTCTCATCATGCATCATCATCGCGTATCTTCATCATCATCTTGCATGATCATCATCACCATCATGCATCATAATCATCATCGTCATCATCAACATCAATTTTATTATCCTCATCAGTCACCACCACCACTATGCACGACATTCTATCACTCGTATAGTATAATTGTCTGCTAGTTTTTGCTTACAATCTCGTTTGAAACAGGAGACGTAGCGAAGGCTCCTTTCGCATGATGATCCATAGCAACATCAATCGATTGTGGGATGCTGTTAGGCCTGTGACAACAAGACATAAAAACACTTAGTACAATAAAAAATTACCTTCTAGTAATGGTTACTAAAGCCAACCTTTTTTCAAATGCTTAACAAAACCTTAAACTCCACCCCCCCCCCCCCATTTCCCTTTCCCCCTCCCCTCTCCCCACATTCCCAAATAATGAAAGCATTTCTTCAGGGCTGCGGGGAGATGTAAGGGGGAGGAGAGGGTGGGGCAAAGAGAACGACAAACCACACCTTTGGTTGCTGGCATTTCTCCACAATGTCGGTGAAAGACGATTGGACACTTTGAAGTGTGTTGGGGTACGTCCACATGTAGTCACTTCTGTCTCTGAAGCGCTGGCTATCTCATCAGCTACGTGTCTAGGGACGACGGAAAGAATGGTTCATTGAGATGGGAGCGGCCGCCTGAGCTACTAGGCTAATGAAAATAACTGGGGCGAGTAAGCATCGCAGTGCACTATGGGACCGTTTTAGGGGACGTATTTCCAAGGGGGCGATATTTTGTCTCCTAAAAGAGCTCGATCCAGTTTGTTCCTCAACCTCAGAATGGCTAATATGAACAAACTTCTTTTCTATAGTCAGTGAACAGATTCAGCTTAAATACTGGCTCCAATAGTCCTCTTCACAGTTCCCTGCGCCATCTTGAAAGATAGCCGTGCTTTTGCATCGAAGCACGACGAAACGGTGAGCTTGCTATGATAGAGACATGTGAATAATTGTCCAAGGTGTTAAAAAAGGTCTCTATCAATGCCAGCTCACCGTTCGTTTCGCTTCGATGCAAAGGCACGGCTACCTTTCAAGATGGCGCAGGGAACTGTGAAAGGGACTATTTGACCAGCTCTCACTCACACACACACACATCACCACTACATTTAATATTGTAAAACCTGAAGACGATGTAAACCGGAGAACCCGGAGAAAAAACCTCGTGGCAAGGAAAAGAATATCTCAAATATCTCCAAAACTAAGTCTAATCGCAGAAATGAATATACAGTCTCCTTGCATATATGCTAAGCAACGTACTTGACGCCTGCTCCTTTGTGGAATTGAGCCTGCGCTGCTGATGAACAGGGTACTGGGCTATCCCATGATGCTTGTCGCTGACATGAGTTGGAGCTGTAGTGGTCGCTTTTGACTGGCATGGCTGGCTGGCTGTGGATGGAAGTTAAAAGGAATGAATGAAAAAATGAATGAATATGGATAAAGAAATAAAAGTAATGGAAGATGAGATAAAAAGAAGAAGTGGAGGAACAACGAAAGACCTACTGCGATTTACTAAAATGGTTTTTGCCCGATTAGGAAACGATGAAGCAAATTCGTACGATACGTTTTGTGATTGGATAAATTACTGGAAAACAATGGGAAGCCATTTCGATGTCAGTACCTTACCGTACGTTTCCCACTCGTACGATAACCATTCTTATGGGAAGCCACTTAAATGTTACGGCATATCGTACCGTGTACGTGCTGTAGGTCAGTACCATATGTTTCCCACTCGTTTCCCAGGAACTATTATTCGTGGTCACTGAACGGAACTGGAAAATGGAGTATTCTAATCTTCCCAGTAAGCGAATAGGTTCTAATCCGGAAACAAAAGTAAAAGCCAAAAAATAAAAAATAAAAAAATAAAAAATAAAAAATAAAAAATTTAAACACGGCCAAAGTCAAACGATCAAACCGTTACATCTAAAATCTTCCAAAAAAAATGTAAAGAAAGCCAGATTCAATACCGCTTATTGTCTAAATATGTTTACAGATCTAGATATTCCAATCAAGACTAAAAATTTTACTAATAACATTCCGAAAACTTCTATAACAAAATATTATATCAAACTGTTAGATACAATACCTTGTTATGTTGTTTCTGTTCTAGGTACTCGGTGTTGGAGTTAAAGCATTTAAACTATACCACATTCTTGCTCATTTATATAAGCGTAGTTTGAACAATGAGAGGTGTTTTTCCCGTTAGGATAAAAATATTATCACACGTCATCACTCTACCACGTTTGAATTTAATCCAAAAATGAAAACGTAAAAATGAAACCCTCTTTCAGTCTCGAAACTCGAGTGGAGTGGAATATTTTAAGAGGTTTATAAGAGGAAACAGGAATATTAATATATTGGAAATAGGGACAAAATAATATTAATTTTCGACGGATTTCGAAAAGAACTCAAGCGGAACTTTTTTGCTTTCCTTTTTTTTCTCCGTGCAAAAAGTGCTCATAAATATTTTTTTCTGGTCTTCGCTGAAAATTGTTATAAAATGAGGAAAAAAAAGAAGCAATAAGTAAGTTGTTTCGTGTCTAGTAAAGAGAGTTTATCAAAGCTTGAGGGGAAAAATTGCTACTATTTTGAAAATGTGTGACGTCACGTAGTAAACAACCTTCAAGATGACGTCATTCCTGATAGAAAATAGAAAGCTTATTTGTGTGGAAAGCTAGTTTTGATAATCATGATAACGCTTTATTTATTCACGCAGACAAATCATAGGTAGTTGAAGAGGTCTCCGCTGTAGTTTTGGATGTGAAGGAGAGGGGAGGAGAGGAGAGGAGAGGAGAGGAGAGGAGAGGAGAGGAGAGGTTTGAAATAGCTTTATTGGCATGACCTACGATTTACAGGTATTGCTAAAGCATTGAATATTAACAGGGATTTTTTTGTTTGTTATATTTTACAAACACATTGTAATAAGAAAAATATCTATATATCTATATCTATCTATATGTAAAGTAACATATWAAAAAAAATAGGTATGAGGAGAGGAGAGGAAAGGTGAGAGAGAGAGGGGAGAGAAGGCAATGAAATCTATTCAAGCATTTGTTAAATCGAACTCAAAAAGGTTTTGAAATAAATTTTTTTTCTTATGGTGTTTGAGCAACAGGCTAAAAAATGACACTATAACAGGAAACAGCAAATGTCAACAAAAAATCAAATAATAATAATCTTAAGGAAATGACAACAATGAAATGACAATAAATGGACATTATTATTAATGCTTAAAGATGAAGAATAAACCTTCATCATCTTAGTGATCAATAACTTGAGACACAAAGGCTTATTTTGCACCCCTTGATTTGAATTAGTAATGAGAAGATATGAAAAATATTGATTTCATCACAGCTCAAATATAGGTGTACATAATGTTTATAGACATTGGCAGTATGATATTAATAGAATTAGTGATGAATCTGGGTTGCTTGGTTAAAGCCTTGAGGAACACCTCTGACCCAATAATTCAAGAGAATCGGCGTACATAATGTTCATAAATATTGCCATTTTAATAAAATTAGTGATGAATCAGGGGTCCCAAGTTAAAGCCTTGAGGGACACCTGACAAATAATTCAAGGGAATAAGTGTACATAATGTTCGACATAGACATTGTCATTGTGATCTTAATGTAACAGCCATTTTAACAAAAGGTATTGAAACTTTGCTGTGCTGGATTGTCCAATAGGTTTCTGATTCGCAATTTTTATAACAATCAATCAAAACAAATTATGTCATTGTAAGCCAACTATTGAAGCTGATTTCTGAACACTATTTTGTCATAATTAACATCTGACGATACTCCACCCAAAAAATAATACATTCATAAATAATAATAATTATGACATACCTTCCAGTCATAGAAAGACTTGTCCTATATGCTGCGGACAGGGTGACAGATCCCACTGGGGTACCAACAGAACCAACATTTACTGTCTGAAACCCTAATAAGTATTAAGGTATTATTAACAATTGATCTATGAACTGCTGATAGAGTAACAAATGTCACTGGGGTACCAACATTACTGTCTGAAACCCTAATAAGTATTAAGATATTATTAACAATTGATCTATGAACTGCTGATAGAGTAACAAATGTCACTGGGGTACCAACATTACTGTCTGAAACCCTAATAAGTATTAAAATATTATTAACAATTGATCTATGAACAGATGCCACTTTCAATGATATTTTACAATTATATAGCATGCCACTCAGGTATAGAATAATATATAATAGAAATATAACATAATATTTTATCCCACTCTATTGATTATAGTATTGTACCCACCTTCTCCAAGTTCTTTTACTCTAACATCTCCAAAGTAAATCCTAAGAAAGATATTCTAAATGCTTTAACTGGCTCCTAAAACTTGTAGGTTTGTCAGTTAACAAAGTTACGTTAACATTTGTCAATTTCAAACAAGGCCACCTTTGAAATTGACAAATCTTATGCTAACGTTTCAGGCAACAAACATCAAAGATTCAGGAGGCAGTTAGAACATGTTTTAATGTCTGGTACTTTTGCCTACATGCAAACAACAACAAGTTAACTAGAAGAATGATACTTAATTATGACATGAAATGAATGTTGATAAAAATATCCATCATTCCTCGTTATGTTTTGCAGAGGAAGAAAACCAGAGAACATGAAGAACACTTGAATTAGAGAAGAGATCCAACAAACTCTTGTAAAATGTGATACCAAGTTGAGAAACTTAAACCAAAGACCCCAGAGGTAAAAAAATAAAAAATAAAAAATAAATAAATAAATAAATAAATAAATAAAAAAAAAAGACCCCAGAGGTGGATTGCGAATGAACTATCAATTAAATACACCTCCCTATACTTCCACTTTCAGGTAGATCTCTAATGATAACTAATAATMTTTTGTCTCACCTGTAGCAGATGACGTAGTCTCCACTCATTTGCTTCCTGGCCAGTCTATATGATGGTGTTACCCGAGCAACAGATATCAGGGACTTGAGTAGCATCCCCATGCGGTTATACACAGTGAAGGTTATCTTGGCATGAGGGTCTTGTCTACAAAAGAAACATACGAAATAATAATCGATTTATCCTGTTGATTTCCAACGCTATTGAAAATTGTCCCAATTTTTCAGAAGAAATTGAGATAAGAAAGACAGGTCAGAAAAATGACAAGCCTGGTACTTTCACAATTTTTTTAAATTGGTTATATATGAGTTATGTATAAGGTAGAACGAATAAAACTGGTAATACACCAACTTGTTATTTATTCCAAGACACCAGGTCTCCAGCACCATGGATTCTCCTTCGCTAGTCTGCAGGGAGATCTCTATACACATCGGTGTTTGTACAGATGGTAGATTACCTCCCATAGATTTCTTAGTTTCACTGGTAATCTCTGGCATGTCATCGATGGCCAAGTTAAACTGAAATTGAAATGAATGGATGAATAAATGAATGAATGAATGGTGGATGGATGAATGGGTAGATGTATGGATTACTCTAGATTCCTACCCAGTCTTGACCCCTGTTATTTGGTTTCGATCTCGTGTGAACCTTGTCTCCAAGTCTTGATTGTACAATAACTTGAACAGCCTGAAAATCAATAAGTTAGAGAAAACATTCACATTTGCTAGGCCTTTTTAACAATTAAGATAAGATAACTCTACGGGATGATCTTCTATTTGTGTTCTTTAAGGTACTATTTTAGAGGGAAAAAACATGACATAGTCGTTGTAAAATACCATATTTATGTTAAGGAGTCTACTGTAAGCGACGTGTAAAGAAATACTAGTAAATAATGTCAAAAGAGGAAGTGTGTACGAAYAAAGAATGGGCTARATAAAATCATTBAAAAGACTTCGAACCATCAAAWATTAAACCCAGAAAGGTAAAATATTTGCCAATAATAACGATAAACGACAGATAAAGAATTAAAGGCTGGTATTTTGAAAATTGTGTAAAGAAATACTAGTAAATAATGTCAAAAGAGGAAGTGTGTACGAATAAAGAATGGGCTAGATAAAATCATTCAAAAGACTTCGAACCATCAAAAATTAAACCCAGAAAGGTAAAATATTTGCCAATAATAACGATAAACGACAAATAGAGAATTAAAGGCTGGTATTTTATACGTAAAAAATCACAAATTAAATTACCTTAAATGACAAAAACTTCAAGAATTTATCGAAATCTTTCTGGTCTTTAGCTCCTAAAATAGGAACCTCTTCATCCATTTTTTTGTTTCATATATGACCTTAGGCTACCTGTAGTTCATGGTCAGAGTTTTAAGGAGTTTAGAAGCCTTAAAAACTGCGAAAATAAGTAGAAAATATTAAGTCATTTTATGACGACCAGAAGCTTTCGTGTCCGCCATTGAATAAACAAACTATTGGAGCCAGGCTACTCTCGGGAATAATAGCACAGGGAACCCAATTCTTACCGGGACAAGAGGATTTCTGAGGAGTAGGAAAGAACGGGAGGAGGGGGTTGAGGGCTAGCCAAGAGGTCGGGAAAGGGTTTAAATAAAAATACACTAAAATAAAATATATATAACCAGAACTTGGCGAACAATGAAGGGGCCGTGTCTCCATGCAGCAAATGGGTGAGGCTACCAAGGCTAGAGTCCCAATCCCACAAATAAATAAATAAATATATAAATATATAAATAAATAAATAAATAAACAAACAAACAGAGTGGTTTTCATAATCCCGTGAAATACACTGTTTTCTATTGTTTATCCAACTATTAGAGTGCTCACGCTAAATCCGTGAAACAAATATTTTTAGCACTAAATAGTGATAATTAAAATATAGAAAACAAAGGATTCTGTATGAAATAGTACTAATTAGTACTATTTAATGTTCACGGTTTCAGTGCGTGCACTCTACACTATAATTAGTACACTTTGTTTTATGTGTTTAAGAAAACCACTCTAAAAAAAATACAAAATAAATGAATGAATAAATGAATGAATGGATGAATCAATAAATTAATTAATTAATAAATGAGTGAATGAATAAATGAATGAATAAATAAATGAATGAATAAATAAATGAATGAATAAATAAATGAATGAATAAATAAATGAATAAATAAACAAACTCATGTACAACCTTACTGTGATATTTATTTTTGACATTTCTAAGAATAATACAATCTATTTTCAGCTTTATTATGATTATCCTAAAAACTACACAATACGTAACAAAAATTTCAAATTAATCATTACAAAACCACCTTAATGAGAATATATGACAATGGATACTTTGAACTAAAAATGTAACGTTATAATTATAGAGTCCAAAGTATAAAGAGCACATCACTTATTCCACCAAAAACATTTTAAAAAACTTGAGATACTTTTGAGCCTTAGGACAGTACCAATGCAGAACTTTTATTTTTTGGCATATTAAGAAGACTATCTATCGTATTCATGTCTCAGAAGTACAGTCTGACAAATAATAAGATGAAACACAAGAATTTATAAATCTAATAGTAGAGATAGCTATCAAAACAGTAAACGTAAAAAGTTAGGAAAATCATTGATCATTGCACCTTTTGGCCTTAATATTTGCAAATGATAGTTGATCAATTCTGATCATTAATACACAATTTGAACACTTTGAATACTTAGGGGTGTGGTCAAAACAGTTGGCCTAACAAAAGACCTGATTTTATTGGTTTAGAAAGTGGGTACTTAGAAGCAACCCTCTCCTCTCACTGGCTCATTGCAACGCTCTGCACTTGATGCCTTTAAAGTGCAACTCACCCCTAACTCAATATTTTCAGTGTTGGTTCTACATGAAGTGAATAGTTGGATGGTAAAATATTTGATGTGTACTTGTGTGAAGCATCTTAAAGATATCAAGGTTTATACTTCCAATATGTGAATGAGTGTGATGTTATAGGAGGCATTACTAAATATACAAACCTTTTCTAGGTCAGTGAAACATCCTGACAGTGACTGTATAAAACATCATTGTCTTACTAAGAGTTTATAGAAAAGTTATTGTAAATTTTCTTTTCTCATTCAATTTATAAATGATGAAAAATATACACAAATTCCATTTATGATGTTACTACACTCATTAACATATTGGAAGTATAAACCTTGATATGTCCAGGATGCATCACTCAAATCACGTAAAAATATTTTACCATTCAACTATTCACTACATGTAGAATCAATACTGAAGATATTGAGTAAGGGGCGCAGGGGTGCCAAATTGTTACAATTATGCTGTATCCCTAAACAGCTCAAACTTTCTAGTCATGCTTTTCCAATTGTTGTTAGTCTTTTCCTGAATTAGTTCCTTAAAAAAGAGCAAGGAAATTCAGTATTTCTATCTTGTTCGTAACAGGACAAGATATACTTGCTTCTAAGCTCTAGGCTTTTAAGGAACACAGCTTAAAGTTGCTTTAATCATAAGCTCTAAAGGAATTTTTCCTGTTTCAGTCGTTTGTTTATTCACAGCTTACAAACATAAGCTACTTACATGTAACTTGCATACTCAAGGATCCCTAAGATCAATACATCTATATTTCATGCATGTCTCCATTCTTTTTCTAAGGAACCTTAGGATCGGAAACCTTAGCCATGTTGGATTACTAGCATTAAGTAAAGAATTCTAGCAATGTTACACCAACATAGAATGATGAATACAGACCATTTGGGATCCATGGTTTCTATAACCCACTAAAAACAAAAATACTGCTTTCTGTCGGATTGTTTCTCAATTATAGATTAAGTGCGTTGTTTAGAAAAGGTCAGTGAGGAGTTCGGTCAGGTGAGGAGCCACTTCAGGTCTTGATGCACGTATCGTAAGGCGATACATCTAAAAAACAGAACCAAGAATATTAATAATAATAATAATAATAATAGAGTACAAACACTATAAGTGTGTAACATAAATACCACTGAATACTGCTAAATTATGCTAATCCTATTGTTTTCTATTGTTTAATTAGCACTATTTACTACTGAATAGTGCAAAGTGTTGCACACTTTTAGTGTTTGTACTCTAATAATAATAATAATAATTAAAAACTTTATTTCAAATACTAAAAGAATAATTGCTAAATAATAATAATAATAATAATGATAGAGTACAAACGCTAAAAGTGTGCAACACTTTGCACTATTTAGTGTAAATAGTGCTAATTAAACAATAGAAAACAATAGGATTAGCATAATTTAGCAGTATTTAGTGGTATTTATGTTACACACTCATAGTGTTTGTACTCTAATAAATCCTTTATTTATAGAGGGTGGCACTAAATAGTAAAAACTGTGCTATTAGTCAGCAGAGGAAAGAAGATAGAAAAGATACGGTAAGGATCATACAAGACTATACTATGTATTGATTGAATGGAGGAATCAAGGATTAAAAAGTCATCATTATTATATTTTCAAAGTGGGCCACAATGTTTGGAATCAGGGATCAAAATTTTGTGTACAAATTCAGAATCAAATTGAAAAAAAAAAAAAAAACAACCCTTGTCAGGACAAAATAATTTAATAAAAAAAAAATTTTTCATTACCTGTGCTTGTCGATTCGGCTCCAGTCGTAATAAACATCCAATCTGTGCTACCTTAACTTTTATTATTCCAGCACAAATGAAGTTTTCTGGGTTGGGGTCAACGTTGTTCTGGATGGCAATGCCAAACCCTGTCAACTGAGTAAGGAAACAAGAGATACCAAACAGTTAGTCCACATAACGATAACAAGTTTTCTTTATGTTAGAGAAAAAATTTGTGACAAGTAAATTTGGTTATAGACTGCCATCTATCATTATTAATAATTTAGCTATAGAATAATAATTTTAATAAACCATTAATGATGCATTATTGATCCATACCTTAGTAGTGATAGCAGCATTATCCATAGGATATTTGGCCTGGAATATTTTTTGGCTTTCTTGTTGGGGACTATAAAAGAAACAAAAAAATCTTCAATTCATTTTATCCATACCCTCTGGATGGCGATGCCAAACCCTGTTGACTTTGAGACAACCTCTGGGCTTAACTAGGTCAGGACATGGCTAGCTCAAAGATATGAAACAAAAATCATTCAATTCATATTTTATGGATAACCTCTGGCAACCTCTGAACAGATTTAAGTCAAGGCACAGCCAACTCACAGATTCAACCCTGAAACAACCTCTGGGCTGATCTAAGTCAGGGCATGGCTAACTCACAGATAGAACCCTGAAACAACCTCTGGGCTGATCTAAGTCAGGGTATGGCTAACTCACAGATTGAACCCTGAAATAACCTCTGGGCTGATCAAAGTCAGGGCATGGCTAACTCACGGATCGAATCCTGAAACAAACTCTGGAATGTTATAAGTCAGAGCAAGACCAACTTACAGATCGATTGCTGATCAAGGCCTGGGCATGGCTATTGAAGTATCAGTAAAATTCATAGGGTTTTTAGAAGACTATTCTAATACTGATACAGATTGGATGTTGGTGTAATGGTATTTATCAATAAAAACATACTTGCTAAGATGCTTCCAGCGAGTGAAGAAATCTTGCGAATTCATCTCTGCAGAAGTACAGAACTTGGACAGGAATACTGGAATCTTGAGATTAAGACTTTGCACCATTCCACTAACACTGGTGAAGAGAGAGAAGAAAACAATGAAACTATCAACAACCTGACTAGTGAAAACTTAAGGTTAACAATGCACGGTAGCAGGTCACCATGGCAACCACTCTTACTATAAAATAAACACCTAGTGCCTAAATTAAATTAGAGCACTCATAAATGGTTAAGGGTAACAATGCTCAGTGTCACCACGGTAACCAATTTTACATTACGACAATCACCTACCAAAATTGCATATTTAAGATCGGGCACTGGTAAAAATCTTGAAGACATTCTACAGTGATGAAGTGTTGGACCTGGGCTCCGCCATCCACCGCTGGTGGAGGAGGCTTAATGTCGACTTGGAGACGTGAAGATTTGTTAAGAAAAATATGTAGAAATATCTTTATATAAAGAGAGAATTTATGCATTAACCATTTACACTTATCTAATATACCACCCTCTTAAAAAAATAAGCTCTTCTAATATCTTCTTCTGTACTAGAATACAACACTTTAGTCTGGGTGTTATGCTTTCTATTTTCATACCATTTCATTGAGGGGAGAAAAGATGGAATGTCTGTAGAAATCCCTATTTTTATTGGTTTTATAGGGTTCTAGATAGGTGTCCCCAATTAGTTTATTTAAATAAGCTAGAACGACATGACACAGTAATAAAGTTTATTATTATTATTATTTTTATATGGCAAGGGAGAGAACAAAAGATCAAAGGTAAACCTTTAAACCATACAAAACTTGACTTTTCTGATGAGATTTTTTTAAAATGAACTTTTTGATGAGATATGTGTTTGTTCTCAGGCTGTAGCAAATATAATTAAGCATATTTTTGCTGGGTGTTTAGAGAACACATGAAATCATCTCTGGTTTGCTTTTAAGACTCAAAACGAGTAGAAAAAACAAAGAAATGAGATCAAGTTTATCTACCACAAATGTAACACAATTCTAGCATCAAAGTAGGCCAGGTTGCTGACTGACTTGTGGACATTACAGGGCTCAAAATAACTGCTGGACATTGGACAAATTCTGGCCAGAACTGGGACTTTTCCCGTCAAATCTTTGCCATACCGGTCATTTTGACCAATAACGTTTAGCCAGAACTAATATGTCATGGGATGTAAAAGGATATGAGTACTAAGATCTCCCGGCATGTGTATTGATGTAGAAAAGTTTGTAAACTGTGAAGACGTCTTGTTACCATAAAACAAACCAATTCGACCTGAAATATGATACAAATTTATTAGTAATGGTACGAGTCGTTCGTTAACTTTAACATGTACAATTTTACTAAAATTGACATTTTAGCATCTATGATGAAAGCTACCATCAGAAATATATTGATTTTAATCGGCCCGTGAAATGAAGTTGTATAATAAGTGAGTCATATTTAATGAAAACAAAAGAAAACAATTACAGCGCTTCTTAATCACACGCTCAAAATCGTGAAAAAACATTTCAACACAGAATAGAGTTTTGGTGGATGCCAATCAAAGTGTTTCACAGCATTGTCAGAAAACACACAGCTTTTAAGGGCACATGCCTATGGAATGTCATGGAAATGCATTGATTGACGTCCACCAAAACCTACTTCGTCAGGATGGAAAATATTGTATGATTTCACTCGTGCGATTGAGAAGCGCTGTAAATTCCTGTCTACTAATTTGTGTTATGCCTACTATATTCTTATGGGCCAAGTAAGATCACTTTAGTATAAATATCGCAGCAACATCCATTCCCACATGATACGTGTTCTGCAAAATTTTACGAAATAAATGTGGCTTGGGGGAGGGTTGGGTGGGGCACCTCTTGGGATAGAGAATGATTAAACTGCAATGGTAACACATCACGATGATAAAAAGAAAATCAAAAGTTGCAAAAAATATATACCTCAAAATATACCTACCTAAAACATCTTTGAATTCAGATTTGACTCCAATTTGGATTATATCATTTTCAAAAAGAATTCCAGTATTCTTACATACAAATCTATAAAACAATAAGGAAACAATTTATCATAATGATAATGTTATGGAATTGTTTAAAAGAAAATATTATTCTTAGACAAAATACCACTGTGCTCCTTGATTACAGACTCATTTACTCAGGGTTAACCTCGCATAGTATCTAAATATTCACAAATACCAACGGTAAAGTAAATAATGCACAACTTCAAYGATACAAACACTTTGAAATTCCACGGACATTCACTGGAACACATGAATATTCTGCACAATTCTCAAGGCTAACCCTGAGCAACAGATAACTCGAAATTGGAGTAATGGATGTGTTTGTTCTCAGGCTGTAGCAAAGACAATGTAGTATATTTTTGCTGGGTGTTTAGAGAACACATGAAATCATCTCTGGTTTGCTTTTAAGACTCAAAACGAGTAGTAAAAACAAAGAAATGAGATCAAGTTTATCTACCACAAATGTAACACAGTTCTAGCATCAGTAGGCCAGATTGCTGACTGACTTGTGGGATATATCAGACTGGACAAATGGTGTAGATACTTATGATATCTTCTGATGATGCTGGAGATGATGATGATGATGACAAAAAATATATTGATGATGACTGCAATGCTGCGATAAAGGTGGTAGTGGTGGCAAGGAGATGGTGATGATTATAAAATGACAATGATGATACCACGCCAATAATTATAATGCTGATTCTGATTACTTGTGACCAAGATGATGATGTTGATGATGCCGATGATCATGATGATGTTGGGTAATGATGATAATGACACAACATCAATGATTATAATGATTCTGATGTTGATCATGATAATGGTGGTGTTGATGATCAAGATGATGATGATGCAAATGGGCCAGCAATAATCTCATTTTGATAAAAGACAAACTAAATGCCATCTGTCACAAATATTTCACATACTTTTTAAGCATTTCTTCTGCACCAGGAGTTACCGCAGGAGAGCTTCCACTAATAGTACTTGCTGCAGGTGTCTCAAACACATCAACCAACAACCCACCACCTGACGGTGCTGCATTAGGGACAGCACCTGGTGAACTTATGGCCATTAAATCTAAAAAACAAAAGCATCTGTGTACAACAAGGCTCATTTCTATTTAGTTTGCTAAGAGATAGTATGAAACAATATCAGTAGAGTGGTAAATAGAGCCCACAAATCTATACCGTGTACTCCTTTTTGAACAAAATGATTGGCCAATGACAATCATGTGCCATAAAGAACATGCCAGCAAGAGAAAAATTTTAACAGATATTTTACCACTTAAGAGATTTTTGTGGGAGATACATAATGTCTGCTCAATGACCAACATAATGAATGGTGAAAGTGGGAAGATTACAGTGCAGATACTCTAACCATGAACACTTCAAGGTTTTTTGACATTTTTTCAACATTTTTCAAACTTTATTTAATGCGTTATCCAATCACGACGATCGTTAGGAGTTCTATTTTTAGCTTTCTAATGGGAGCTACTGAAAAACTAAATCACATCAATTATATCGTGTGTTCTGATTGGATGATGCCTAAAAGTTGTTTCATTCCTTTTAAGAAGGAGATCGCTGATTGGATAGTTGTAAAAATGTATACAAAATGTCAAAAAAAGATTAGAGTGTCTGCACTGTAACATGTGACTGGTCAAGAGGACTGACTCGTCTAAGAATGTTTGTTTCAACAAGTGCCAAATTTTGGCAGGACATTGTCTGTTGACCAGCCACATTTATGGATAAGTTATTTACCTGGTTGAGGTGCAGCGTTCTGGATGGGAGCAACCTGTGGCTAAAAAGAGAAGATTCTTTCAACACTTATGAAACATATTTAAGAAATAGAACAGCTTTCTTCATGCTTCATTTAGTAATAAAGCAGGAAGTGATAATATCTGAAGCGTGAGTTGTAGATGTTCAGTTATACAGTGTATAGTAAAAAGAATAACTTATGGTTGGCAAAGAACCTTGGCGAAATGTCAGTCACTGACAAAATAGTCTTTGATCTTAATACTATTAAAACAACTCACCTGGAAAATTAAAATCAACACTCTCAACAAAAATAATACACAAACACCTACCATTCCAGGTGTACTTACTTTTTCAACAGTAGAAACTTCACCATTTGAGGTTGGTTTTTCAGCCTCTGGTTTTTCATCTTTTTCTTTAACACTATTTGGTTTCTTCTTCTTGAGTTTGGCAAGGATCGATGACTCCCTCTCAGGGAAAGGGGGCATTTCTTCCAAAACTGTGGCCTGGAATTAAGAATATTGTTCCTTTAAACTTCAAATTCAATCGATAGACCATAAAACAACCTCTGGGCTGATCTAAGTCAGGACACAGCTAACTCACAGATTGAACCCTGAAATAACCTCTGGGCTGATCTTAAAATCAAGGCATGGCTACCCTGACAGATTGAACCCTATAACAACCTCTGAGCTGATTAAAGTCAGGGCACGGCTAACTCACACTCTCACAAATCAAATAATCTTACCAATACATCTGGTGAGGCTACAGTGCTTAGCCTCAAGTATTCCAAAGCTCTCTGTTGTATCTCAGTATCTGCATTGCGAAGGTTTGAATCGCTTTTCAGGATCTAAGGAGACACAAATAGTCAAATTAATAAATTTAATTACCTTATTGGCATCATTGTCTGTAAGTCTGAGCCATTATTTATTCATTAATCACCATTCTGCCTAGTTGGTCAACCATTAAAACATGATATTTTCATGTATGTATTTAATAATTCATTTACTAATTAATTCACTTGTTCATTAGTTATCATATATAGTTCTAATACTCATAAATTATTCATGAGGAAAGGAGCCAATCCCATTGTTGTATTTGGGATTAGAGAAGATTCTGTAGTAATTGGAACTGAATTAATTTTGTTCCAGCTACTCCAAGTAGAATAATTAATGAGCATGAGAAGTCATTTCAAAGCCTCCAATATCGGACTGGATGGGATTTCAAGTCCGCACAATTAGTTCCAGTCCTTGGCTGTGCCTCAGACTGGAACTAATGGCTTGGACATGAAATCCTGTCCAGCCCTTATTGTCGGCTTTGAAATATTACTTCACTCACTAACGCAATTAATCATTCAGTCATTCACTACTTCATTTATTATCTCATTCATTCAACTATTCATTCATTTTTTCATTCATTCATTATATTTTTATTTATTTGCTTATTTGTTTATTCATTCTTGATAGTGGTGTATTTTCACCTCTTGAATGTAGCCCTTGATTTCAGGGAAAAGATTGATAAACTTGATATACGTTGACAAGAGCAGCCCTCTTGTTGATTTGTGACACAAAGGAAACTTGCTATGAAGAAGCTGGAACTGAACCATTGGGCTGCATGAACAAAAACAAAAACACATCAGATTTATAAGTTACCCAAGCCGTTTGTTCCTGTGTGATCATCCAACTTGTGAAAGGCTCATCATAATCATCATTATCACTAGACACACCAGGAGGCACTTAAAGCCATCACACTAGATAATAATGCTTTCCATTTCAGTAACAATTCAGTTTTTTATGGCATAGGGTCATAAGCTATTATTATTACAGGGTTCATGCTGAGGTAACCAGTTAAAATTCAAGGACTATTCAAGGAGTATACAAGGACCCAAAAATGAATTTTCAAGGAGTATGTTCAGCTAACTATGTCAAGGTCTATTTCAGAACCATGCAAGTAATGATCAATGCAAAAATTCAAGAAGTTTTCAAGGAGTTTTGCTAAAATCGTGAAATTCAAGAGCTCGATCTTCAAGTGCCCTTGAAAACGTGAATTAAATTCAAGGAGTTTTCAAGGAGTTAAGGAGTAGCACGAACCCCTGTTGTTGTTATTATTATTATTATTATTATTATTAAATACTATACTAACCTTGACCGTGGGTCACCAGCGATTAAGTTTCCAAATTCTCCCAAGATATATCCACCAACCTTGACCATGTTTTCATGACAGGCAGGAGATTGCAAAGCCTCAAAGACAGTTTTTGCAGCATAACCTTGGATATCATCTCTGTTGATGACAATCTGAATAACCCTGTACCAAACCTCTTCGCTGACATAATCTCCTGCGATCCTTATTAACGTCAAGATGGTGTCGACATACCAAGTGTAATTGGTGGCATATTTCTCGGCTAGGATTGCTACTTTTAAGACCTATAATAGGTAAATTAATAAATTAAATTACCTTATTGGCATCATTGTCTGTAAGTCTGAGCCATTATTTATTCATTAGTCACCATTCCGGCAAGTTGGTCAACAATTAAAACATGATATTTTCATTTACGAATTCCACAGGATGTACAGTCCCATTTATAACCAACATCCAAGATTCAAATTTAGTAAAAATACACAGGTGATTATTGAAAGTCTCGTGCGCTGATTGGTCAAGAAACTCACACTATCACACGATAATCAACTTGAGCGATAATCCAAAATGTCTTTTATCTCCTTTTTATTTTTGGGAAGAATCACCTGTGTATTTATACTAAAACAATTATTTGCCTCAGCCTCAGTGAATATCGGGGAATATTTACTGAGACGCGACAAATAATATTTAAATAAAAACCAACATGCGAGTTGATTGAGTGTTGTATACTGTAAAATAGTGAACGCAGAGGTATTATCTGTGKGGCTTACAGGGGTTTCAATAGAAGGCGGCTACCGGCGGTTTATCGCTGGGTACTTACCTTCATACCGCCGGCTATTTTGCGAATCAGTCTTAATAAATAAGAAGTAAAATTTGTGGAAACAGACGTCTACTTTTGAGTTTCATCCATCTACTTCAAATATTATTGAAAGCCCTGGGCTTATCTCATAGGAGTGCCCCTTACGAGGAGTGATCATTTGGCGAGTCAGGACGGTGTTGTAGTAAAATTTCTCACCTCGCACCTCTTGAGGTCTGGGTTTTGAATTTTCTGACTTTGAGGATTTTTCTCACCCTCTGGTATTTTCCTTCCGTCCTCTCAAATCAACTCTGACKAATTCAAACTGGTTAGAGCTGTGCTCTGGAGTCATACATGGACTGTATAGTGGCTGCCAGAGGTGCATTATTCCTTAAATGAGAATGACACTTACCATTTCTTCCTTGATGGAGTAATCAGCTGTCTCTAAATAGTCAAGCATCTCGGAAACAATCTCTTCTGCATTGTTTTTATCACACATTGCATACAGCAGATCCACAGCTCTTTGACGCACACTAACATCCCTTTCAGTCTATTTAAAACAAAGGTATACACTTAACAAGATAAAATGGATATCACAGGGTGTAAGATAACAGCTGATCAGATGCCAGTCATAATGACAGGTCATATTACTATTTAGCTCAGTCATATCCCGTTTCTGGTTCAACGTTGTGGTTAAAATGACTGGTAGGACAAAGATTTGACAATGGATTTGCTGCTAATGCGTCATATGTCTTTCATCGCTTTGAGTACAACGGGTTGGGTTGCTAGCTTAAGGTAGCCACAAATGAATTGAGTTTGTTTGAAGTGTTGTTCTAAGGTAGCCACATGTGAATTGAGTTTGTTTGAAGTGTTGTTCTCTCCTATGCTATGAGGGATTTCTCGAGGTTCTCCGGTTTCCTCCCTCCATAAAAATCAACATGTAAGTTGAGTGTTGTATAATGCATAGAATATTGAATGTAGTGGTAGTGCGTGTGAGTGAAAAGTGTCCTCTGTTAGTGCAAAAGCGCTAGAACAATTAGGCACTTAAATAAAGATATTTAAGAACTATTAACAGTAGATGGATAATAAACATTATTGTCCTTGTGAAATTAATGTCCAACGTTACCTTCAAAGCACCCATGACTGTTTCTTGATGTTTTCTCACAGCATCGACAGAGAACTCACTGTTAGACATCAGACAAAGACCTTCTAGAGCAAGATATCTGGAACACAGACAAGCAAAGCAAACATTCTTGACATTACTGGACTAGATGCATCATAGTATTATACAATAAAATAAATATCTGTTGTCATAATAGACCTAATCGGCTAACGTGTTGCTATGTAGGTACCACCTAATTCAAACCTTCTGGGAATAGAAGCAATTGTCTCTACGAATTCAACTGTGAAACCAAAATATAATGAACAATGAAACTTAGTCCCATGTGGTTTGAATTGGGTGGAAATGTTTATAGCAACACGTTAGCCGATTAGGTCTATTGGTGGTGTAACAATGGGGGCAATCGTCCCCATAAAAAGTTTGCTTTCTGCGCCAAAACTTAATTAATTTATTAGTGCGGGGTTCCTGTGGATTTGGTGGGGAAATAGGGAGATGTTACAGTCTCCCTGGCCAGAGGCTAATGTTCCATTATATGATACACTCCTGGTTACTACCAATACATTCAATTCGTTCTACTGTAAGCACAAAACTCTCAATTTTACCTCAAGTTTGTCTCTCTGTGCGTCAAGAACTGCCCAAGTTGGTTGCATCCTCTTATGAGTAAACTTTGTTCGCTAAACATAAAAAATAAAATGAATAAATAATTCAACTCTTTTAAAGTATTACTTTTGTAGTTTTTAAGTAAAAGAAAAACTACAATTGCATTTGTATTGACATAGCAACATAAATTTTGAAACATGCACTTGTCACTTGTAACTTTCCTTTACAAGATAGGTTGTTGACCAAAAAACTTAAATTAGAATTTAAATTAAACAAATTGCGTCATCACATTGTCAAAGTAGTGTGGATCCGCAGCTTTGACGTCAGCTTTATCTGTCTGTCCTCTTATTGATGATAAAAAATAACCAATCAGTGCGCGCGAAATTTGTAAGTTAATTCAAAAATATTTTTTATCAAGGAGTCTTGGACTTAATAATATAAAAGTAAATATATAATAATAATCAACTTTATTTCATGAGGGTAAAACATGTAACGGTGTAAACTGACAAACTTGTGGCCCTCTTACAAATTAATAGAATCTAAAATACAAATAGCTAAGTAACAATGTGTAGTTCCAAAAATTATCCACACCACCCTCACGGCCAAATTTACCCCCTGGAAATTCAAACTTTTTTCCATACAAATTCTGTAATTTTTGTTCTTTCTCTGACCCCCCTACTCTTCGGAAATTCCAAATTCCTCTGTGGGGTGGGTATGGATGATTTCTGGAACTACATTAAATATATTAATTCAATTAATCTAAAGAACTTGGATATCAAAAATGTATCTAAAAAATATTTACTAATCCTAAAAAATTGAAACCTAAATGTGTACAAATGTCTTTCTAACCCACGACAGCTGGCGACGTAAAATGATATCTTAGTAACTGCTTACAGTACCTGTCCATGTGGATGATAAGGTTGATGGCTTCGAACAATACGGCATTCCTAGCATTGGAATGTTGCACCTTCTTGGATTTAGGAGGCTCCTAAGATAGTATGAGGATACATTAAGCACTCTTAATTGGCTTCAGAACATTGTTTGGCAGTAATATATCTCTTTATCTTCGGCGTAATGTTTTTCCATTTCAGATCACGTGTCATTCTCTCGAGAATGAGATTCTTTTTTCGAGTTATATTCCTTTATGTGTTTTCTCATGCGCAACCATTAAACAAATAAATGATATTCTGGGGAATGACACRTGGTTTGAAATCTGAAAATATTATGTGTAAGCCAAGGAGGTCTATTGATTGGCTGATGTACTGTATCATACCTGAGCCTTATTGAGAATTGTTTCCAGACATTCATGAAGCCTTGCTGCAATAGCAGGGTCATCTAAATAGAAAAAAAAGTTTATTTTCAAGGGAAAATAATATTTTTTTGAAATATAATAATGATAATGATAATAATAACTTTATTCTTATATAGCACCATTTCTATTTCTGTCCAATGGCACTTTACAAATTACAATTAAACACTAAAAATATGTGGTAAAATAATTAAGAATTATATGAAGATGTTAAAATATATATACATTAAAATTTATTTTCCTAGTTAGACCCAGCCTTTACACCAAGCCCCACATGCACCGAATCCAATGCAAACGAGCTGGTTTTCAATCATTTACAAGGGAGTGAACTAACAAAAGACATGGCGGCCATGTTGGTTTATGATATAACAAAAGAATTCATTGAGATCATTTCTTTTGTTATTTTAACCAAGATGGTGGCTATGATGTCATGTGCAAACAAAGAATACTCAAGTATAAAATTACCCTTTTTTATGACTCTCTTATTTTTTCATATTTATAATCAGCAACCAACATGGGTTCCCTTTCATTGACACCATTGTTTTTGATAAAATCCCACTTGTTTAAATACAGGTCTTTAATCTCTTTCATAAGTTAGCATTTAAATGCAGTGAGACAGCACATTGGCATCACAAACCAACCAAGCTTTCCCATAATGTATTATACCTGGTGGTGGGTAACTCTGCAGCAACTTTAGCAGCTTGATGCAAAGCCATGGGGCTGGAACAAAGTAGTAAGTATAATCCTGAAGATCTGTGTATGATGAGGTAACAATCTAAGGAAAAACGAAATCATGAATGCAGTAATTATCAACTAGACTGACATTGTATCTTATTGGAATCAAGTGTTACCAGTGTATTGGGGTTCTCTGGGGTCTCAGATCAATACCTGGAATCAGCATTATGTGTAAGTATRATTTGTTTGTTCTCTCCCTTTATTCATTTAATTATTCCTACGAAACCCAACACTCTAAATTCCAATTCCAACTAAGAGTTAGCCATGCCTGACTTAGATCAGCCCAGAGGTTGTTTCAGGGTTTATTCATTTAATTATTCCTACGAAACCCAACACTCTAAATTCCAATTCCAACTAAGAGTTAGCCATGCCTGACTTAGATCAGCCCAGAGGTTGTTTCAGGGTTTGATCTGTGAGTTAGCCATGCCCTGACTTAGATCAGCCCAGATGTTATTTCAGGGTTCAATCCGTGAGTTAGCCATGCCCTGACTTAGAGATCAGAACAGAGGTTGTTTCAGGGTTCTATCTGTGAATTAGCCATGCCCTGACTTAGATCAACCCAGAGGGTGTTTCAGGGTTCTATCTGTGAATTAGCCATGCCCTGACTTAGATCAGCCCAGAGGTTGTTTCAGGGTTTTATCTGAGTTAGCCATGCCCTGACTTAGATTAGCCTAGAGGTTGTTTCAGGGTTTGATCTGTGAGTTAACCATGCCCTGACTTAGATCAGCCCAGAGGTTGTTTCAGGGTTTAATCTGTGAGTTAGCCATGCCCTGACTTAGATCAGCCCAGAGGTTGTTTCAGGGTTCGATCTGAGAGATAGCCATGCCCTGACTTAGATCAGCCCAGAGGTTGTTTCAGGGTTCGATCTGTGAGTTAGCCATGCCCTGACTTAGATCAGCCCAGAGGTTGTTTCAGGGATTGATGCCTTACTGAAGATGCCTTACCCTACTCAGCCTTGATACTGCAAGCTGGATGCATCCCTTGTATTCATCAGGGTAGTGGTAGACCAAACCATGAATAAGGCTGGATGCAGATGTCACTACTCCCTGGAATATACAAAACAATTAAACAATGAAATAAAAATAAATGATACATGATGTTGTTGATGATGATACATTATGATGACCACTATGCATGATGACGTTGATGATGACGATATATTTATGTTGATAGTGAAGCATAATGATGGTAATACACGATTGTAATGATATATGATTGTGATGATAATGACACATGATGTTGATAGTGATACATGATGGTGATGTTACATCATAATGGTGATACATGATGATGATGATAGAACTACAGGTATCCCACTCATAAAGCAATACGATGCATAATACAATTCTTACCAAGTGCTTATCATTCAATAACTGTACAATCCTTGAAGTCCATTCCCCTGGTGGTAGAATACTCTGCTTCAACCTAAACAGCTTCAACACACACAATGCAGCACACTGCTTCACATTATCAGTGGTATCTGGAGAAACCAACAGTTTGGGAATCTCGATACCAAGGTGATCAACCATTTCTTGATTGCCGATGTTCGCAATACACTGCAGCGCTAGGCACACAAAGATGGAGTTGCGGCTTGACAGGTCATTCTTGATGTTTTGGACAATCAGTTTGATCAATTCACTGTTAGCACTGACGAGAACTGATATGAAAAGGTATCCCTGCCAAAATAATCAAAAATGAATTTTAAGAAATGATAGAACAGCTTGAATATCTTTTGACTATGTTTTGTTGTTTACAAGGTCTACTGTTTGCGAAAAGCATAACTAAGGTCATATTTTGATTGTAGCGATCATAACATGCATCAAAATTACCTAAAAGCACTGAATTACACTATATACTTGTACACTTTATATATGTATATATATATATATATATATATATATATGATACAGTAATGATGAAAAGGTAAATTATACACCATGAAAAGATGAAAAAACTTACTCTTTTACTCCTACGAAGGACTAGCGTCTGAAACGTCAGTAAGTTTTTTCATCTTTTCACGCTGTATAATTTACCTTTTCATCATTACTGTTTCATTAGAAACACCAACGCAGCTCACACTAGTTTTTGGCTAGTTATCTCTTCTATATATATGATAAATATTTCGGAGTCTGTGAATAGCATAATTTGATCAACACATTGCCAAATTAAAAGAAATGTCTTAAAGTAATGTCAAAAGTAGAAAGTGACTAGACAGAGTTCTTAAGCTGGCACAAAAGAGTATTATCATTACAATGAAGACATGGAGAGGTGATGGAGTTATGCTCTCATTTCACGTGCAGATCAGATTTCTCCATATCCAAATACTAATTGATTTACTGAACTAATGATCTTAGCTGACTATATTTTAAGTTTTTTACACATTAGATAATCCTAGAATGTAAGTGTGAATTCAATAAAGTACATTAATTGACAGGGAGTATACAAGAAATGTGTTAAGTATAACTACATTAAAATGTAACAATAATAACAAACACAACAATATAGAATAATTCACTATCTTCATAAATATATTCCATTTTGTACTCTAGAAAATCAACATTTTAATAAATGCTTGGGAATATATAGACTTAAGAAACTTAATAACAAATTTTTAATTTTAATACGCGACCAAGAGCTGAAAAAAGGCAGACTGGAGACAGGCAATAACCTTTCGTAACTTTGCGGTTACAATTTTCTTAAAAACACCTTGTCATTTAACACCAAATTTGTAAAAGTTTTAGATAAAGCAGAAATAAATTACTTAAAGTAAACATGACTATAAGTTTTGTGGATTACTTAAAAGATATTTTAAAGAATTTTTGAATCAAAAACGCCCGCAAATCAAACACAAAGTGGAACTCGATTTATTAATTGAGCAAAATGTTGTCTCTTATCCATCCGCAAGTTAAAGAGTATGACTATTTCCTTAGCAATAAGAAAGCTAGACATAAGAATGGTATCAAAAAGGAATATTAAGTGAATATATTTGACATTTGAAGAAATCTTACAATTTGTTTTTCGGTGTACTTGTTGGATGATAACAAATTCACGGCTTCCATATGACCAAAATCAATATCATGTCCAAGGAGGAAGATAAAGAGTAATTTACAGACGTATTTTTTCTTCTGGTATCCATCCAGCGTTTTATCACCTTTAAAAAATACAAGACATAAATTTAAAATCAGTAATAATGAATCGAAGCTTTGATCAAACTCGAGTAAGTATGTTTCATGAAATTTATCAACTTCAAAAATCGTGGTTTAGAATTGCGTGCATGGAAAAATATTCAGAACTCACCTTTGAATTTATTCCTGATATTTGCGAGTTCTTTGTTGATTCGCTTTATCTCAGCTTCCTTCGATTTACCTGTAGATGAAATCAAATAAAATGTGATAAAAAAATTACCCGCGTTGAATATCGTACACTCGACTCGAGTTAACTCCTGAAGCCGGCCGTAAATCATGCATTTGATTACACTTTCCACGTGTCAGGCCGCGTTTTTGCCCTAAAAACTTAAAAATTCAATCCATAGATAGTTTTTGTACTCACAGTTACGTATGTCGGAGATAAAGACCGCTAGTCCTCGCATCCCTTCGCCTTTAACGGCCGGCATTTTGGTTGTCGGGTGTTACTTTATAACGAGACCACCCCTCGAATATCTGTACTCAGTTCCAGTTGGTACGGGAATTATCGCTGTTAAAACACCCTAAACACCTCGAAATACTCTCAAAATTGAATCAGTGCTGGAGCAGAAGCCTTGGAGTAGGTACTCGAGGTGTTTTTGGAGGAAAACAGTGCAGAATTGTTGGATTTTTGAGGTGATCGTTTGATTTCAGGCCAAGAGACTCTATAAGATGGCAGCCGCCATCAAACACATGGAAACGAGGCTGGGCAGAGGCGCCCGCAGTACATCAGCAGTATGATGGGCGGGGGAACTTGAGAGTAACGGAAGAGACTGCTGGCGGGGGGATATTGAATGAGGAGAAAAAGGGAACTGAGTAAGTGATTTTTGAGATTTTTTTTTAGCAAAGTCGCGGCAATTGACAAGAAGACGTAAATGAAGGAAGGAAGTAAAAAGGAGAGAAGAAAGAAGGAAGCAAAAAAAGAAAGGAAGGAAGGAAGAAAGAAAGAAAGAAAGAAAGGAAAAAAAAGAAACAAATAAAGAAGACAGACAGACAGACAGATTGTTTTCCCTATTATTAATATGACAACGACAATATTTTATCTTAAAATTAAACGAATAAAAAAGCTAAAGTTCATAATGTCTTTACTTATTTTAAAGTGATAATACGTTGTTATAACCGTGGGTGGCCGATACAGGTCATTAAGCTAGAAAACAGAATGATGTTTTTTACATCTTTAATTTCAACCTCCTTTCGTCATCAGCGATATGGCGCTGGCTGAAGACGAGAATGTGAACACAAGATAATTGCAAAAATCTTCTGTTATTTCGCCCATTGCTTCCCACGCACACAATAACGGGCATTTAATATTGAGGCTTAGCCCATGTTTGCGCATGTAGTTTTTGATACGTTATAGTGCTATCCGTTGTTACGTATGTCCTGGGCCAACTGCTCGTTTGAACGCGCTAAAATAAAACAGCTGTGACAGAGGAGATTTTATCTTTTACCTACCACCACCGTAAGCACGGCGGTCGCCGCTCAACGGGGCTCAACTGAAAGCAAGCTCTCCCATGAGGCCGCTACCAGAAAACGCGATGGTTTGGATGGGACTGAGATGGATTGGATGGGACTGGGATCGATGGATTGGCTGTAACTGTCGTAGCATGCATGATTGTGGCTGAAATGGATTGAGAGTGACTGGGCCTCAGTCAGTGACTCGATCGATCTTGAATCATCAAAAAAATTTTGTTTTGAATATTCACCTTTTGAAAGGCCATGGATAATCTTAATGTATAACAAAAACATGTCCAACACATAAAACTTGTTTTCCTCTTCTCAATGCCCGAATTTTGAGTGTTTTTTAATTTTGGAAAATTAGGAACCGTACATGGATGGAATGGACTGGACTTCGCTTGGCTGGATCGTACGGAACGTAGACGTCTTTTTAAGTTCGAATTGGCAGCTTTTATCCTATGATATTTGTTTTATTATTCATAACTAGTGATTCTATTCAGAAATTTTGCAAAAAAATTACGAAAAATAATTTTTTTTTTTTAATCGTGGCACTTACAAAGTCGTGTGAAGCGGGTTAGCGGCAAAGGTTTTTCAATGGACTGTATACATCATATGTCTATAGGTGACTCTTTGGATCGTTACAGATTTTTACGACTAAGTTTTCTCCATTAAGATGCTATTGAGTATAAATTGCATGTTATTTGAATGTCACTGGAATGGATTAGATGTGACTGAAATGGATTGCAGATGACTGGGCCTCAGTCAGTGACTCGAGCTTGAATCATCAAAAAAATTTTTTTTTTTTGAATTTTCACCTTTTGAAAGGCCATGGATAATCTTAATGTCTAACAAAAACATGCCCAACTTCAAAAACTTGTTTTCCTCTTCTAAATGCCCGAATATTGAGTGTTTTTTAATTTTGGAAAATTAGGAACCGTACATGGATGGAATGGACTGGACTTCGCTTGGCTGATCGTACGGAACGTAGACGTCTTTTTAAGGTCGAATTTGCAGCTTTTATCCTATGATATTTGCTTTTTTATTCATAACTAGTGATTCTATTCAGAAATTTTGCACAAAAAAATAATTAAGAATTTTTTGTGATCTTTGGGTAGTATTTTTGAACACATGCAATCTATGCATTGTATGTCTATAGGTGACTCTTTGGGTCATTAGATATTTGTACGACTAATTTTCCTCTATTTAGTCCCTTGTACATGTGCTGGAAAAAAAAAATCATTAATTAAACTGCATAGTATTTTCCACATTTTTATATAAAAAAAAACTAAAATTCCAATAACGTTTGTTTCCCCAAAACAAATTGAAATTCAAAAGCTCATTCTAAAAAAGTAAGGAATATAATTTGATGATAATTATTTTGAAAGTTTGGATGGATTTGCCATCATGAAGCCTGACAATATGGTATCCCCACTCCCCATCTCTAACCCACTGCACAATAGCATAGCCTAGTAATGAAAACATATAAAAAATAAATAAATGAGATTTAACAGTGGCATTTCTACAGAGCAGCTCTTTATCCACTCAATTCAATCGGAATTTAGAAGTTGATTTTCGTGGATGGAGGAAAGCCCAGGGAGAACCAAGAATGAATAAGACACTTTACTCACATATGACAATGAGAGTGGTGGGACTTGAACCCAGGTCACATTGGTGAGTCCTGGATTCAATCAAATGAAGGTCACACAGGTGAGAAGCAAGTGCTCCCACTGTTACTCCTCCCGTGCTTTCCAAGAATAGCCTTCTACTTACCTCTACCGCATCATAAACTGAAGTCAGACCCCTGAATGGACCAGCTTTACTATTTTCCCCCATGTCTACTGCAGTCTTGATTTGCCCTGACTGGTATAACTGAATCAATCTTGGCATGTAGGTCTTGATGTCAGACACGTAATTGAAGAGGAAAAAACCACGGACGCTTGCTGACTTAGTTAAAAGCTAAAAAGAAGACAAAACTAATGCTGACTTAGAAGGCAGGATTAGTGAATCATGATTGGCTAATGATGACTAGGCCATCATTGGGTTGCACATGTTATGTCATCATCATCCTCATCACCATCACCACACCCCTGTATACCTCCATACCCTGATATATACCCTCATGCCCCAATATTATACCCCCATAGCTTATATACCTTCACACCCCGATATATACTCCTATATTATACCCCTACATACATCTATATCCCTATATAACTCCATACCCCTTTATACCTCCATACCTCGATATATACCCCTATATTATGCCTCCATGCCTCATACCTCCATATAACTCCATACCCCTTTAAATACCCACATACCTCGATATGTACCCCTATATTATGCCTCCACACCCCATACCTTAGGAATCAAGGTGCCAGTCTTCACAGGATTAAAACCAAGTTTTGATTCATAACCAGTTATAAATCCTATTACAATCAGACGCCCTTTTGTTGCTAACCTAATGAATAAAAAAACCATATAAGTTAGACCTTGCTGCTACACTAGATTTTACCTTCACTTATCCTCCTCATGCCTTATGGCACATTGGGCCTTCTTGGTTTCTGTAATAAACTTTTTTTAATGAGGGTGGGTCATCAGCCAAACCCCAACCTGGAGGACCACAGAAATCACTCTTGAACCTGGCCCCTACCTGTCTGGCATGGGTGGCCCTACCAGGAATATACTACTCCTGCGGGCATAGATCTAGGGGTTATTAGAACATACAAACTGCTTCACAACATTAAGGTGGGGATCCCGATCAAGACAGGCTGCACTACACTTACTGGAAATGAAGTATTAATGGTTTTACCTGTTGACACAGACATCAAATATGTTGCCTCCGATGGATTCATACACCACATCAACCCCTTCCTGGAAATGAACAGGAGGAAGGTAATTATATCAGGGTGGTGAAGAATTGACGCAAAACCTGAGGTCACTAATTTTCGTTACATAGCTTATGGGAGGCATCATCCGGAATCCTTTGATGATGTCAAAACCCAGCACATTTTGATTAGTGGCTGTCAAAATTGTTGGTTGGGCAAGGAAATGCTTACAGATTTTCTTACGTTAAGTCGCAAATATTTTTTTATGAAAACAATTGAGCAGATTTCATAGATTTTCCCCAAAGTTCAATGCCTAGTGTATAGCTTTATTTAGTCTTATGACTTCCATTGTCGTGCTTGAGAAATTCTTGCTTCTCTCAAAAGAAAGGTTGACTTGTGATAAAGCTACAGATTTCAAAATCTGGGATCAAATACTTCTCAGTTTTGATGGTGAGCTATTTCATTCAAAAAAAAAACTCCCTTTAGCTCTGAGTGTGTTCAAGTGTTGGTAATTCTTGTAACATAAAGCAACTTACTGGGTATTCAGCTTTCAAAACGTCATTCAGTTCTTCTGTTTTGTAATTGATGGGGCGATCACACCCTAGACTCTGAAAACAAAAACAAAAAAAGGAAGAGTAAAATTCATTTTAATTTAAATCTGTGTATTAATATATATATTTTAAATCTATCACACGGTGATTGATTGCTCAATCATCCAAAACTGGAGAAGAATCCATTGCAGCACAGGAGACAACCAACAAGCAACTCTACTCTCTTACAACACTGAGTCAGGGAATCAAACCCAGGTTGTGTTAATAAGAGGCAGAAATGACACGACAGGGAGCCCAACGTCTTTAGCTGCCCTCCCAAAGAGCTGCTGCGCAGGCTAAACATCTTTACCTCTAGGAGAGATAACTAGCTAAAAACTAGTGTGCGCTGCATCGGTGTTTCTAATGAAACAGTAATGATAAAAAGGTCAATTACGCCATGAAAAGTTGAAAAAACTTACTGATGTTTCGGACGCAACAACAATTGTTGCAAGACCAAAGAAATGCGGCTTATTCACCTATTGGGCACTCTTGGTCCCAACGGGATTAATGAACGCTTTGCTTTCAACTAACCCTTTCTTTTGTCTTTTGATTGTTTGTTTTTCGTTTCCTTGCCTACCTTGTTCTCATTGGTTTCTTTTGTCTTATTCTATCATATAAACACTCCTTTTTACCACCTCTTTATCTTTACCTTTAATAGATCAACCTTCTCTTGAGAGGAACAAGTTCCTATGACATGACAACCAGCTTGTTTAGCTAGTTGTACCTATAGAAACAAAACCAAGATATTAACCAATGGTATGTGATATTGGAGATACAGGTAATACCAGTAATGTAACACTGTATAACCTATGTACTGGGGTACAGAGGGTGTCTCATTTTAAAGGCTTCATCATTGAGTACCTTGAGTACCACACCCTTTTTGGACCCTGAAGCAAGGCACATTCTGTTACTCTGTCACCCAAGGAAGTAATCAGAAGAGTATTTTAGGTATCACACAGGCAGGACAAAGAAGAGGTAGGCTCTGTTAATTTAGCCCCTGACTTGTTATAACAGTATTTCAAATTCAATGCTTTGCTTGTGATGAATCTATGAAATAAATGTTGCAATAAAATGGTTATGTTCTTACGGCAAACTGTCCTGTTCCTCCTGCCGCAGCTGAAAAAGAAAATGTAAGAATTTCACCAAACAGAAACATATTTTATCTATCATTATTATCATTTTCTGACAACATGCATCATCATCTTCCATCACCATTATCATTATCATCATCATTATCATCATCAT